AAGCTCTACCATAGATCCACAGACATGCACCTGGCTCATATGAAACACGAGTCAATGTCGAAAGCGTCATGTCTGAAAATAGATAAAGAGAGTAAGTTTTGAACTCCTTCGTCGAATGAAGAAATTCAAGGGGAGATCTGCAGGTTTAGAGATTGAATCCTCAAAGGGGCTCAGATTTATTCTTTTTTATATAATCGTGACAAGCGTAACAAACTGTTCTTAACTCGATCAACGAAAAAGAAAACTAGTTCGTCTATTTCTTCTATTACCAGATTAAATGACAGAAAAATGTTCACAATGCTGATTATAGAAACAAATAACAGAATTTGAAGTAGCTGATTCATCTGCTTAGGAAGGATCTATGAAGCTACCATATGGTTGACTCCAGAATTATGACCGGCGCTTGTCACATACGAATCCTAGTATATGGCCACCCTTACCGCGATTGAACGCAGAATCTGGAAAAACTGCGGCTCTAAAACCCTCAAGAGAGACTCAGATTTCTCTTACACTGTCCCAGCTTGCAGAAATCTTCTTCAGTAAAATTTTTCTTAAAAGAGTTTTTAAATACTCTAAGTGTTTTTCCAAAAAGAAATGTTTCAGCAACGACCTGAATGTCTGCATCTAGTATTTCTATAAGAAGTGCACGAATTTTATCCGGTGTAAGCTGTCAACATTTTCTTTAGTAAACGCGTAACGCTTTGAATCTGTTTTCCTATAGTTTCAACGAAAAGTCACGTATCCTTCTTGGAAAAGAAAGTTTTGGAGTTTTATTGCAAGCAGGTGAGTAAAGCTAATGCTGGTTGTCGTAACGGTTTTCCACAGAAAATATCACGCAAAAAACTGCTAATTGATGGCATTTCCATCCCGTTCTATATATAACCCGACGGTGATCAATGGATGTTACTTATCCTCCCAAAGTGAGGATGAATGCAATAAAAAAAAAACCATCAGAGATTTTAACAGCTAAATTTATTTTTATTTCGCACCAAATTTTCATCCTAGTGAGAGAAAACTAATGAATATAGACTTAAGAAATATAGTTCGCGGTTCATAATGTTCTACGTTGACGTCCTCTGCATGAGCGGAAGAAAAAAAAAACCGCTTTGGCGATTGCATAATAATTGTATAGGAATGAAGTCTATAAAGGCATCGAATTAGCTTGCAAAATCTATACGTCTCACCGCAAATATCTTCAGTGCACAATTAGCGCGCGTCATTTACGCGAAATAAATTCACCATTATTATTTTTAGAGGTTTCATGGGGCTGTCAAGGTGAAAGCTAAAAAGTGAAAATTTGAGGAAATCCCAACACTTTTCACGGAAAGATAACGGGAAAGACTTTTATTTTATGCACAGTTTGTTAGCTCTACAACCCCCACAAGAGCTTAAAATGGAACATTTCCTAAAAAAATACTGATCTAAATCCAACAATTTATTACGAGAATTATAGAAAAACCGAACAAAGAGAATATTTTGTTGATGAAACACTATATTCTTCCCAATAAATTGCGACAAGGGAAGCATTAACCCTATCTTTGGATTTTGTGAGCTAAGTAGTAGAGCAGTTTGATTCAATATCACTTCTTTGCCACGATACTGTTTTCTAACAAATCTACGATGCAATCAAGAGAACATGTCCTCTTGGTACAATAATAAAACTCACGGGTTGACTTCACTCTTTTCGATTCAGTTTTATATGGCGGAGAGTGTCCTGCTCTGAGGAGAATCAGGATGTTGCGGATGTTTTCCGCCAAAAGGAAAATAACTGAGTCTAAATCGTAGGATGACTACATCCATT